TTTAAAGTGCCCCTGAGACGAAAATTGACCATTTTATTTTGGCCTAAATTGTTTACACAATGTTGAATTGGGTCAAGTTAAGACCCTTTTTGCCATTAAAAACTCAAAACAAACCTTCGATGACCAATTTTTACCGCTTCAAAGTCGTCCAAAAATCGTCCGCCATTGCTGAAAACATGTTCCAGCCGAGCCCGCAATTGTACAGCAGAAAAAGTCATCATGGCGTCAAAGGCTCAACAAACTTATGCTTTGCTTTGTCACAACTCTCTTTGTTCGCTGCAAAGTGAATCACACGTATTACTTTTTTGAGAGCTGTTCTGTTGTCAGTCGTGAAATGTCGACTTTTTCTGAAGATGAATTGTCCAAAAAATCATCTGAAGCTTCTGTGGATAGTTTTGCGCCGGCAAACGATGAATTAATTTTTGCCATATGCATGCGAATAAAGATAAATACAGAACGGCACGGACTCCCCTTGTGGCTTTTGTGGTCACATCGCTTTATCGCCTTCGAATTGTATTTTTGCTTGTCGTAAGGGATTTTCCTTTTCTGTAAGAAATGATCGAGTGATACATAAAAATTGTTTTCGGCAATGGCTGATTCTGTATCAAGGAGGATATTGGGAGTTTGTGAAAGACATTTCTAAGCCATTAATTTGTTTGCCCCGATGCATTTGGTCAATCCGGATCTCATTAATCTTTTCCTGCGTATTGTTTACTATCGGTGCTTTGAGAGGTTTGAAGTGAACTCTGTTGTTTAGTTGCACTTTGGCCTCTTGTTTTTCCTGTCTTATTCGTGATGACTATTGTTGTGTTGCTTCGGTGAGGTTTAAAGCAGAGTGTGTTTCAACTCTTTCAGAGCCGTGACCTCATTACGTTACAAAGTATTTTTTGGCTTAGATACGGTCTGCAAGTTGTGTCATGACAATTTTCCAAGTAGCTCTGAAGGGCGATAGAAGACTGAACCGGTGGCATTCAGTTTGATATGAAACGGTAGTGGTTCTTTGTTTTGTCCGCGAAAGGTGTAACGGAGGCGCATTCGTCTTGCGAAAAACTCTCGCAAACGGTTGGCCTGATTTTACATTCGTTTATGACGGGTGTTGGGATGAATTTGAGACCCTTTGATAGTACGCTGACTTGGCTGTCAGATGGTTGATAGTTTGAAAGGTTTTAAGAAATTTTCATTTTCTCGTTTTTTTGGCTGCCAGCCTACATTTTAAAGTGTTTCTACACTCTATCTGTCTTAAGCTATTTGTTCTACTTTCGCTGATATTAAAGCCAGCACTTTTTAGAGTCAGAGCACACAATTACATTTTTCACCTCTTTTGTCTAAAAGTAAGCTCTTTGAGGTCAGAAATCTCATTCCTCAATTCGGCTATTTTATTATTCTTATTTACAATGTTCACCGAGTACTTTCCTTTGTGTGAGGTATTCTGCCAGAGTTGTTATAGGTGGATATTCATCAGCGGATATGTAAAGGTGACAAAACCCGTGGAGGTTCGTAGACTTCACTTTCGTCGAGATCGCACAGAGGACGGTTTCTTGTCTCTTCTTTTGAACGGTACCGTTAGGCACTGAACCCGACTGAATTCTTCGCCTAGATCCCTTAAGGTACACAAATCCCTCGAAACAGTTCTCCGAGAAGTGTTCGGAGTAGATCACAAATATTCCTGCAAGATTGAAGTTTACTCGACCAGTTCGCACATATCGCATTCGTTTTTCTCGCTCTGATCTATTTGCAAGGCTCCGATGCAGAGAAATACCCACAGCATGGTCTGCACGATTACTTCAGCTTTGAATTACGTATCGATGCCTCGTCATTTTTGTTTAGATCTTGTAAGAAAAGAGTAAAGCACTCTGTTATGTTTGCGTGACACTTTGCCATGTGAGATTATCGCGTTGAGCCTCTGACGTCACTTCCTCGAGTCCTGTGATCAACTTCCGGAACATGGTCAAACAATGGCGGACACGAAATCGCGAATTTAACGGCCCAAAAAATATATTTCTGGGGCTCGGTTTAGACTGAAATTTGGCAGAGTAGGTGAAGGAGACACACTGAACGCGAAAATGAAAAAAAAAAAAAAATGATGTTCGAAAATTTTGATCTCCGGGGCACTTTAAGTATATATAACACATAATGGTTTTTTTTTTTCTTCTTCTAAGCAGCCAATCTTTTGTCAACTGTTGCGGCTGATTTTACCGGCGAAACATGTGGCGGTATGTGCATGAAAGTATTTAGCAGGTCTGGAAAGATTCTGTTTCGTCGTTGTTGTAACAACAAGGATTTTGCCAAAGCCTTCACTGTAGAAATGGATGTCATCAAGCGAGTGGACGGCCAAGAGATCGATGATTTAGTCCCTAAATATCAAGATTTCACCATCGGAGAACTGAAACCCGCTGTGTTGCAAAACGTGAAGGCAATGAAGCTCTCCGCCACGGCTTACTTCGAGGCTCAAAAGGCACATTTGCACATTGACGTCTACACCCTTTGCCAAAACGGAGCGATCAAATTCGATGATGATGAGATTGTATTGAGAACTGGCTCGATGAAATTATTCCTGAGGGTACGCACTCATTTCTGGTGAAATTTTAGCTTTTAAATAATCTATAATATTCCTCTGTGACCAGACATCGTATAATCGCGTAGGGTTTATCAGGGGGTATGGCGTCCCAGCATCCCATTGTTTAAGCTAGTATATTATGAACACATTCCAGCAAATACGAGATATCGTCCATTTTTCATCTCACAAGATAACCTCGCACGAAGTTATGAGGCTTACATGAGGTACTTGACCTTAGTGAGCCTGCGCTCCTTCGTTAATAGCTGGGTTGTGGTTAGATGATGGAGAGTTGAATGTTGAATAGCCCGAAGTACTGCATGTTGAATATATCAATACCATAAGTACAAAAGAATTGCATTGCCACAACTACAAAGTGGAATTACGAGAAGTACAATGTTTAATACTTTAAACTTGGAAGTTTAATTGTAAAAAAGACAATGTTGAATCGGAAAAAGTTTCATAAGGAATAAAAACTTGAATGTCCAATCGCGAAATAAGGAAGAATACTAAAAGTACAATGTCAAATCGCAATGTTGAATTTTGGCCCCGATGGGACGCCATAATCAGGAGCGTAAACTACTTTCGAGATGGTACTAAATGGGACAACAAGGACTAAGCTCTTTTAACCTAACTCCACTGGATTTTTTTTTAGTTTTAGACGGGAACGGAAGTCATTTTTCCGAAGTATACCACTTGCAAGGAAAAGTTGGAGTTAAATTTACAATAAATTGATTCGGCGCGGGAAACCGTTAATGATCTGCTGAGTTGTTTCCAGCGTGATTCATTTTACTCACAACATGATCAAAGTTTGTTATCAGTCCTTTAGCGTCATTTTTTGGGTTAATCTAGGGCCAATCTAGGCATATTTATGTTTCCCTAGGACAAATATGTACTCTAGACTTATGGGGATAGAAAAATCAGTAGTTTGTCTTTTTCCCTCAGAGTGATGATAGACACCTTTGAGTAACGAACTGGATCCACCCCAGCATGGATTTGTTTGAAATATGAACCGGACTGACGCAGAGAGTCAGGAGTAAAAATAAACAAAAATTTAAAAGAAAAACAACAACAACAATAAAACAAAAGGCAACGCAATCCGAATACTCCCGACATTGAATTGAAAGTCATTTTAGTTATTTCACTTTATAAGCCAAATAAGTTCAAAATTTGACTGTTTTTTTTT